ACAGGGAAAGGATGGGAGGCTGAGCGGGACCGGGAGTGCGGGGGTGGGACACGGGGGGCGAGATGTGTGACAGCCAGGGCTAAGGGTCAGGGCTTGGGGTGTCGGGGGGTGTGATTGCGGTGGGTGTGAGTGGACAGGGTGTATGGGGGCTGGGGGGTGTGTGGGGGCTGCAGGTTTCAGCACCTATCCAGGAAAGAAAAGGGGGCAGGGGGGATGAGGGAGATGGGGGAGGAAGGCTGGAGGTGCCCGTGGGTGCGCGGGCAGTGCTGTGGCTGTGTGAGGGGAGCGGGGCTGGTGCAGTGAGTTGTGGGGAGCTGAGCCAGAGAGAGAGAAGGAGAGAGTGCACGTGTGTGTGTGTGTGTGTGTGCGTGTGTGCGTGCGTGCATGGAGCAGGGGTAAAATGGAAAAATGGATGTTGCTTGTGCAGGCATGTGAGCATCCACAGGTGTGTCCAGAGGTGTGAGTTACCTGTGTGTTTGTGTGTGTGAGTGAGTGTGCAGATACCTGCAAGTGTGCTCAGGTGTGTGTTTGGCTTGGAGGCTGTGCCTGTACTTGCAGCCCAGCAGGGCTGTGTGTGAAGAGCGAGGGTGTCCATGCAGCTCGCCATGCAGGCTGCAGCACAGCAGTGGGGCTGGCCATGGGGCAGGTGGGGAACACCAGGGAGCAGGGATGGGGCAGAGAGTGCTGGCAGCATAGGGCAGGCTGTGGGGCAGCCCATGTGCCAGTCAGGCCATGGAGCAGGGGCCTGCTCTGTGCCCAACACTCCCAGCCTGTTGCACGCTGCCTGCTGCAGCTCCAGCAGCCTCCAGCAGGAGGGAAACTGAGGCAGGGACGTGCCCATTCCTGAGGCTGCTCCAGCACACTGCCATCCTTGGCTCCAGGAACACCAGGGCCATTCTGTGATATGGGGAAGGTGAGGGGAGCCTGGCCCTGCACAGGGCCCTCCCTCTGCTCACCCAGTGCCCATCTCTCGCCCCAGATCGACCAGGACGGGCTGACCCTGCCCGAACGGACCCTCTACCTGGGGCAGGATGAGGAGAGCGAGAAGGTGAGGGGGGCACAATGGTGCCCTGGAAACAGCAGGAGAGGGAGCAGCAGCCAGAATGGCTGGCAGACAGAGGGCACCCAGTGCCAGCAGCGCTGGGGACTGGGG